AATCCACAGGCTGCAAAAGCTACTTGGACCACTGAGTTGCTTCCCAGCCCCACAAATGAGGTCTGCATTGTCCTCCCAAGCGAGGGGAAGCAGCACGGTGGGAGTCAGAGAGGAGGGCTGAGGGTCTGGGATACTCACTTTGTAGCGAGCAGCATATTCTTTCGGGAGTGCAGGTCACTGGGGTCCGTGTGCTGCCGGTTCAAATACTCAGAAACAGCTTTAGCAGGAAACTCTGTTTCGCAAATATACCCAAAATCCCGAGCTAAGTGAACAGCTTCTCCTGAAAAGACGAGAGTAGAGGTAATAATCAGCACCTAGTCCCTGATCATCTAGGACAGGAGACAGTCCCTGGTCAACTGTTGTTATTTATAGAAGAGGCCAGCTGTTGGGGGCAAAAGCAAGGGTGAGACTGATGCCCAGATAAAAAGGATTCTCAAGCCATAAAGTTGATGGAATAAACTTTGCTCCTGCTGCTCTTTCCAGCCTCTCTCTGATGATCCTTTTAGCCAAGTCCTAGCTAGACATCCCCTGAAAAGCTTTGGGTCTCCTACACACCATGCTTTCACTTAAGGGCAGATATATTCAGGAGCCACCTTACAATTGCACCTAGACAGTTGGCTAGACATTCAAGCCAGATTTCCCCCTTCCCTTTTTAAAAAGCACCCGTTGGGGCACCTGGGTGGCGCAGTCGGTTGAGTGTCCGACTTCAGCCAGGTCACGATCTCGCGGTCTGGGAGTTCGAGCCCCGCATCGGGCTCTGGGCTGATGGCTCAGAGCCTGGAGCCTGTTTCCGATTCTGTGTCTCCCTCTCTCTCTGCCCCTCCCCCGTTCATGCTCTGTCTCTCTCTGTCCCAAAAATAAATAAACGTTGAAAAAAAAAATTAAAAAAAAAAAGCACCCGTTATACCTGCTTTAAATAAAGTTTAAAAGTATTCCTATCTTTTGTGTTATCTTTTGTATTTCCTATAATTGCATTAGGAAAAAATATCTTATTAATAACAAATATATACAAACAATTCCACGTGTGAACATGTCCACATATATTAAAGAAACATATAAGGAATGAGTGTTTCTGTCCAACAATGAAATATGTATTCTTTGTCAGTTCCCTGATAGGTTTCAGGTCTCTCCTCAGAGGTTCCTGTCATCATTCTCCTATTCAAGAACTTTCTACTGCAGAAAGATGACACAACAACTATAGAAAACCTGGACATCTGAGTCCTCAGCTTATGTGAAAGACCTTTCAAATAAAACACGAATAGCCCTTCATGCACAGCCTTAGGTGTTCCAGGGAAGATCCTGAATATGGTAAAGAGATATGGTGAATTATCCCATAGCTATGTGATTTTTAAGGAGCATGACTTACTTTTAATCATCATTATCATAGTAACAACAAAAGACTTCAGGCATGGTGCTTACAACGATCCAGATCCATAAAACTGAAAATTGCCAACTAACTATTATAACTTCAGTAGTTTTACAGTTTCCTTCCTTCTACACCCAAATTCAAGTCTTAGGCAGAGATAACCTTGACTGCTTTTTAAAATGAGGATTGTGATACTAACAAATCCCTGAAGGGCAAAAACTAAACCCCCCAGGCTGAGAATCAACTGCTAATCAGTGTGATCTGGAAATTTGGTGACTGCTTCCCCAGAGGGTAAGTTTGGGCCAGGCAACTCTGCCTTAAAGATGGCAAAGTGCAATGCCTGTAAATGTGATGACTTTATGGTTGCTGCTTACATATTCTAAGATCTCCTCCAAAAACCAATTCCCCACAGGAGTGTCATAATATCACATCCATAAAAATAGAAGAAAAAACCAAGACCAACATGTTAGACTCTAGAGAAAATTCTATAACTTCCTTCATTAAGACCATCTGGCTGTATTTCCTATCCCTTCCCCGTCCCACAAATTAACTGCAGATCCTCTTGTTCTCAACTGTGTAGAAGTTCCTGTTTATTACATACCATAAATATCATCCCCAACCCAAAAATGATGAGCAAATTAGAATGTGCCTGTCATAATTATGGCTGTTTAATTCACAATTGATGAATCTACACTGAAGATCATACGTGACTCCCCTCCATGTTTCCTCAGCACCACCCTGCACCCTGTTTTCTCCTAGGCGTCATTGGCCTTATTAAGCCATATTTCAATAATAATAATAAGTCCCAGGTAATCAGCAGGAGATAGAACCCTGGGAGTGGCATGAGTTTTAAAATAACCATTAGGGGTCAGGAGTGCAATAATAGTTTCCTTATGAAAAAAGACAATGTGCTTTCTACTACTGACGATTCAGAGGTAGAACCTGGGAAGGAGAGGAATATAAAATGGATTGCTGCTTACAGAGTTACTCTTGCGAGAATTCATACAGAGGGAGTTTCACACACTGTCTCCTGCACATGGTGGTACAAGTGACCTCTGCACTGCCTTAGAGTCTGGACCTGAGCACTCTCCAGAGCTTAGGCACTCTTGCACATGTCCTTTGGCCTCTCTACAATTGCCAGTTCCCTCTAAGTAAAAGGACCTTTGAACTTCTCTCAGGCAGCCTCTTGACATTCGACTCATAAGGGCACAACAATTGCAGTGATTTCCAGTTAATCATGAAACGTGTAAAATGTCAGCCTTCAGCCAACAGTTAAACTCAGCCACTTCGTGAAATGGCCACACGTCTTGCTTACCTTCCACCAGGGAGGTGAGTAACGTGACATTTGCTGCTTTGCGCCTGCCCGCGGGTAAATTCAAACCGATTTTTTCTAGCCTTTCTCGCAAAGATCTCCCCCCATTTTTCGATTTGGCTCTGAAATTGCAAGAATTAACATTCTGATTAACCTCAGAGTATTCCTGAAACAAAGTTTAGACTTAGCAATCTAAAGCCCAGTGGAGCTTGAAGAGGTTTTAACTTGAGGTTAGCACATTTTCCCCCTTTCCTTGTGGTTATTTGCTGATAGTTTGCTGAGGTTTGCTTAATTTCTGCAATACAGAGCATAAAAAAATTGAGTCTTTTTTTTTTTTTATCTCATGAGAAAATAAAATGATACCAGATGGGAATAATTAGGATGTAGGTTGTGGGTCCAGAAAGGTAGAAGTTGCACATGCAAACACACAAGCTCTTTCCTTGTAATGGAGCCAGTTGGTAAAGCAGAAACTGGGCAAGCGCTACCTTGCTGAAAAGAAGGAAAGAACTGGGTGGTTCAGAGAGAAGGCACTAGCTGAAACAGGTGGGCCTTTCGAGGAAGAAAGGGGTCAAGAATTGCTGTAAGATGGAGTTGGGTTAAAAGGGGAAGGAAGACTGAAACATGAAACCAACATGATGATGGTAATCGCAATAACAGTTAAACTAACACTTTAGGGAGTTTAGTTATGCGATAAGCACTGTATATTGATTATCTCACTTAATCTCATAGCAAGTTTTATACACACATACTCAATGCCCAGGGGGTGAATGAAAGAAACTTCCACACTCCAGGACTCAAAGGACTCACTTGGAGAGCACGGCAAAAGGATTCAAAGTGAGAAAAATCCATGAGTCACCCCCTTACTTCCTCCCTCATCTCTCCCTGTATGTGCTAAAGTCTTGGCAAAAATACAAGAAAAAACCCAGTTACTCTGACCTCTCTGGTGGTACAGTTCACACAGCCACTTTCAGGAAAGAAAGGGACTTTCAACCCCCCAAATAGGCCAGCTTGAAAAGTTCGTCTCCTACAGCGTCACCTTCCTATCAGAGACACTACCAAAGTGTCCTCTGTCCAGGCACTGGCAGAGAATCTGGGGAGAGGCTTTAAAATCTTAAGATAAAAGCCACCTCTTCCTCCATTTTTCACAAGGAGTCCATGAAATGTCTTCCTCCAATATTGAGGACCATTTGAATGCCCCCACGGGATAACTGTTAATATTCCATTGTTATTATTGGCGGTGTTCTTACTGAAGACAAGAGGTCGCAAGTCTAGTGCAGAATTTTTCAAGCCGAGGGAACAATGCTTTGGTGGCTAGTGACCGATTTAGTCGGCCGCCAAACATATTTTAAAACAAAACAGAGAAGTATCACAGTACGTTACTGGTACAAAGTGGTTTATTCCATGAAACGTCTGTTTTAAATAAGTGTGTGTCGGTTCTGAGTTTCACTCAGGCTACAGAACGCCCTCGAAGTGTCCCGGGGCTGGGAAGGAGTCCCGCGCCAGGCAGAGGGCAGGGAAAGTGGGAGGCTCCCGCCACCGATCGCAGCGGGAGGGCGAGGCGGCGCGCGCTGGCGGCGCGTGGGTCCCGGGGCGGCGGCGTTTGCGCGCGCTGCCCTCAGCACGTGGCGGCCGTAGCTCTCCGCACGCGCAGCTGGGGGGGGGAGGGGGCCGCGCTCTGGACGCCCAGTTGCTAGGCAACTGCGCCCGGCTGTATGTTGGTTTCCGGGAGAGCCCTCTTCCTTCACCCCATAGTAACCGATTTGGGGGTTTTACCTTCTGAGGACGCCGCCGAGGAGAGACGCATTGAGGCATTCGGGGGGCGAAAGCCGTCTCTGAACTTCTCCCACAGTTACTTTGTACTTTGAAGTTGAACTGAGCAGAGACAAACGGCCCGGGACCGAGCAAAATACCTCGCCGGTGTTGACGGACATGCCTCCCAGGAAGCCATCTTTATTCATCATCAGAGAAGTCACAGATTTGGGAGGAACCGGAACTAGGGAGAAAAAAAATATGCCATAAAGGTGACCGGGTTTCGATCCTGGTGACCGGCTGATAGAATGTGTCGGTGCGTGCGCAGGGGCGAGGCCACAGGACAGGCGCCAAGTGGAAAGCTGGAGGAGGAAGTGTTTGTTCCAGTGGGGCTGCGGTGCGTTCAGAGCACTGTGTACAAACAAATGGAAAAGCCATCACTCCTCTGGAAACTTACCCCATGTGTGTAGCTATGAGTGCCCCCCTTGCCACAGTCCCGCTTACTATACAAAATCAAAACAGACAGCCCAGAGTTTGAATTATGCTGTGAAACCCGGCAAATCCTATTCCACCATGTGCTAGCTTGTGACCTTAGATATCTCAGTGAACCTCTCTGAATCCTAGATTCCTCATCCATCCCCTAAGGATAATAATCATATTTGGTGCTGAAGCCTGGGAGTGATTACATTATCAATGATATAAAATGGTAATACCAATGTTCTGTATGAGAACCCCTCCCTCCTTTCTTATTGGACTCAAATCTATGGTCATCACTGGAGAGCATTGGAGAGTGGGCTCTTTCAGACACTGTGCTCAAGAACAGCCAAGTAATACCATTAAGCTTGGGCTCGAAAGAGCTGCTCATTTCTGTAAAGTGGATCTCATTCTTTCCTACATCATAACAACATATTCATTTAGAAATGAACCCAAATGCTCCTCTCCAGTGAAAGCAATTCCACAGTGACATGAATTTTGTTTACAAATTAACTAAAGCACCGGCTGGTGATTGTTTGGAGCAGTTATGATTTACAACAGGTGCCCTGATCAATCAACCAATCACTCTAATTCATGTGAGCGGAGGTCTTGCCTTGCCCCAGTTGTTTCATTTCGGCAAGTAATTGATAACAAACCGCACTCAAGGTATGTTTTATGCAGAAGTTAATAAGAGCTGACAGCTGGTTGCCACTGCTACCCAGGCGCATTCAGTCTCTCCAGCCTGTATTTCTGTTTAATTGTGTTTCAGTGTCATCTGCACCTCAGGAAGAGGCGGGGCTCAGTAGAACCAAAGGGCTGGGAATGAGGAACAATGAATGGTCAATCTCCCAATTCCCGGGCAGTCTTGCTCCCTTGGACTTCTACACTGCTGAAGCTCATTTTCTTTCTGCAGGCTCTAGAAGCCACAGGGCAGGTGACTTTTCCTGGCTTGCCTTACACCTTAGCTTCTTCCGATGGGATATGAAGCCCCCAAATCTTCAAACAATATTTGTTGATCACCAGTTCAGGGGATTTATTGAAACATGCATCTGGCATGAAAAAGAAGGCTCCCATTCCTTCTCTTTAATAAAGATTATGTCTTATCCTATCATCCTGGTAGGGGAAGACATGCTCTTTCCACCATCCAGAGCCTAAAACTCTACATGTCAAACAAGTTGTACAACTTCTCTTGTATAGAATAACCAACAGTGAGTATTTTTGTAACAGCTTATTCTCTCTACTACAGATTCCAGCATTCAGACTTCCATGATTGTTTGGAGACTCCTGAAAGCCAGGCTGGTCCCAAATCTCGTATTTATTAGGAATTGCAGTTTGGCCCTTTACAAACATCTCATGGGAAAGGATTTTCCTAGGAGAATGGATGGAGGTCCTGGAGCATTTCCTTTTGCTACTCCTTAGATGTTTTAGTATTTCTGGATCTGCAGAGTTCAAGGCCCTGTCTCAGAACAGGTGAGTGATGTTAGGTAACAGAGTGGATCTTCTGCACTGTCCTGGTTGGTTGGGGGGGGGGGCGGGGAGGGCTACAGACCATGTTTTCTTCTTTCTGATTCCCCTCATCACATTCTCATATTCCCTTTTGAGAGTGAACCAATGAAAAGTCACAGTGTGAGTATTAATTACATTTGAGTAAAATACGGAGTTAAAGTCATTTAAAAGACAGTGATTTTGGTGAGAACACCTTGTCATTTAATTCCCTTACACAACATCCACATCTAATTTGATCTGTCTTATTCTTCACAGCACTCTTGGTTTCCATATTTCAGATTTGTATTCAAGAACTATAAACAAATAATTTACAATCATGGGAATTAGCTTCAAGTAACCTTGGAGAAACTTTTCTCCAAAATATAGATATAATTTTGTAATTTTAACATGGTATGAACTATACAAATAAGTTGTAAAAAAATCTCATCTTTGACATCAGCAATATTTTCATATTTAAATACTATTTGGAAAGAATATTTTAACAGAAAATAAACCTCACTATAGAATATTTTAACAGAAGAAAAAACGTTACTAAGTTGAAAATAGTAAGTTCCCATACTGAACAACCATTTCCCATACTGAACAACCAATACCCCTTAGGATTGGAATTTTACCTGCTTCTCAGAGTCCCAGTTTTAGATGTCCCTAAAAGCCAAGCCTTTAGAGACACTTTATAACCTGCCCTCTAATTTCACTATTGTTAATTGCCTGATTTACCTGACAAGAGCCATTTCCTTTGGGGAATGTATAGTGTTCTCTTCTGTTCCATGGACTGTACCTTTCCTCAAATGCATTATCACCTAAATATCACCAATCCAGTCAGCTTCTGTCAACACATTGTTGTCCTCTTTTGTTGCTGTTCCCCCCGTCCCCCAAAGATGCACGCCATTTGAGCAGACATGCTTCAGGTTATATTTCCATTTTCTAATTTATTTTTTTATGTTTATTTATTTTTGAGAGAGAGACAGACAGAGTGGGAGTGGGAGAAGGGCAGAGAGAGAGGGAGACACAGAATCCGAAGCAGGCTCCAGGCTCTGAGCTGTCAGCATAGAGCCCAACACAGGGCTTGAACTCAGGACCTTGAGATCATAACTTGAGCTGAAGGCGGACACTTAACCAACTGAACCACCCAGGTGCCCTTCCATTTTCTAATTTAAGTATAAATCATGTTCCTACCCTCTACTCTCTCATCTTCAGGTTCTAACCCTCTCCCAATCTGACCTTAATCTTGGTATCTTAGACTATACCCTACACATTTCTTGTCCTAACTTTCCTTTGAATCCCTAGCAGTGTTATCTAACTTCCCCTCCACTTTCACACCTGCTTAGCTCAGCTGATTAACCCCATATTTTATTCTCTTTGTCTTTTCCCTTCTGCTTTCCTCCAGCTTATCAATAAACCCAGATAGCAACAGGACCCGGTTGATTTGTTAGTAATTATGAGCACACTGTTCCTGCTCATGGAACCCAGAGATGACTAAGATAGGTTTAAAGCGACAGCAGGAAATGGTAAGGAAATGGAGCATAGCAAAACTCAGCGTGAAGCTTTCAGTTCTTTACATGTTTACAATTTTCTGTGCATACATTAAAACTGGTTGGTTTTTTTTTTTTTTCCTATTCAGTTCTCAGTTGCATATCATGGCCAACTTCTACATGTAACATCCACAAAACTTGCTCCATTCCTTTTTTCCTGGCATTATATTAGGGAGAAGAAAAAAGGTTTAAACCCAATCAGCATTTCATTAGAGTGACTGGAGTTTTATTTAAGGAGAGAGGAAGGAAAACTGATTACAGAAAATATTATTCATTAGTGGACTATAGAGAACCAAAGTGTTAATAGACTAGCTCTTAATGTGTATTTTTTAAACTTAACTATGAAACCGTAGCCTTGAGATCTCTGTGTTTGACTGCAAACAGACCCTTTGTGGGTCTGATCTGCTGGTGGGGAAGAAAGGAAGAAATGAACCCATCTAATGGATTCAAAGGTAAGTCCCTCTGAAGGGTACTCAGACTTAAATATGTAAGCTGCACCAGGAAGCCAACAAGAGGTTGAATACTGCTTGAAATAAGTACTTCTTACCAGCAGAGCACCCTTTTCTTTTTATACTTGCATTGTCTCTCATCTACCTGAGGGCTAAATATTATTTCACATGGATATACAGCACATCTATAAATGTGAGCACTGAAATCCTGGAAAGAAAAATAAAAGGATTCTCACAAAGAAAGCTGGCAGGCATATAAAGAACTACGAACATCCAGTGTTAGCATCCTTTAGGGGCAAAGTCTAAGAAGCTATAAACTGAATGGGTCCCATCACTTACTTGGTGTGTGGGACCTTGGGAAAGTCATTTATCTTCTCTTGATCTCAGTTCCCCCCTCCTCCCCACTGGGGGTGGAGGGTGGGAGTTGGAGAAGAGTGTCTGAGCTTTCCAACTTTGAAATTCTGTGAACTCTTGGGGCACCTGGATGGTTCAGTCAGTTAAGCATCTGACTTTGGCTCAGGTCGTGATCTCACGGGTTTGTGAGTTCGAGCCCTGCGTCAGGCTCTGTGCTAATAACTCAGAGCCTGGAGCTTACTTTGGATTCTGTACCTCCCTCTCTCTCTGCCCTTCCCCTACTCACTCTCTCTCTCTCTCAAAAATAAATAAAAATTTTAAAAAATTCTGTGAACTCTGATTACTCCCTGGGTGGCTGGAATGTATCTCGAGTCTTGAGTTGAATAAATACCTATTGGGATCCAAGTCAGCTCTGGAAATGTGAACCTCTTCCTTTGAGGGGAAACTCAAACCCTTTCAGAGCCTCTGACATAACTCTCGGTGCTTTTTTACCTTCTAGGTCAGAAGGAAGAATCCCAACATTGTAATTGAAATTGGCAATTTCTTCCTACCTCCCCCCCAAAGAAAATCCACACCAAATCAAAGTGTTTATATGGGGAAGGGGCCAGAACTAATGGGGAAAAAAGTGGGAAAGAACTGAGGTTGAACTGAAACTAACCAAACAGGATATCCCCAAGACCAATGAAAATGCCCCACAGTCACATTTGAACCTTGGACTCCAGCCACACTAGCCTTTCCAAGAAATCCCAGCATATTTTCTGCTCTCTAAGGTGTCAAACCTATTGCATTTTGGCCTCTGAATGCACCAAACACTTCTTCTTAAAGCCTAGGTGAGCCTTTTTTAGTTAGGCTATAGGATGGTGGCAGTGATCATTTATATTAGCTGGGCACCAACGCAGCCCCTCCCCGGCCCAGAATCCTAATCTTAATGGAACTGAGAGTTAAGAATGATTTTTTAATGTCTCGTTGGATTTTTAGACTGTTAATGTACCGAATCCTTCTCATTATTACTTTATTGATTGCTCATTGACCAGCCCCCTTCAAATCGTATTAACCACCCTCTGCCGGTTTAGATTAGGAGAGTTTAAAAAGCACCTTTCATTACTCCCTCCACTCCTGCCACGGAGTTGAGACTCGGCAGCTTAATGGGAGCTCTAATGGGGCAGCTAAGAGGAGAGGGGCCACGGTCCCTGCCGATTGCATTAATAGCTCAAAGGGGGCCAATACAGAAAATTAGCCGTAAACGAGCTCTGGAGATCTTCAAATGAAAGAGCCATTTATCACGCTGGCTACCTTCACTCCACTCGTTTGCTCTCTCTACTGGGAACAACTCATTTCCTCTTAACTAAATTACTTCAGAAATGTCAGCTAAGCCCAGATAGCAAACATAACAGGAGAGCTAGCCTATAATCTATGAGGTGATATCAACACGGGTGAAAAATTGGTTAAATTTTAGGAGAGTCCCTCCATAATTAGAGACAGTGAGAGACATAGAGACCTTTATCTTTTATGCCTAGGCCTTCTGGCTTCAGTATATATAATAGCAGAGACACCGAAACCTGGGCCAGTGGCTGCACTTTTATTAGTGAGGTAGACTTTTAAAAATCCCTCTACAAAAAATAAAAATTAAAGATCTCTCTAAAAACCCATTAGAAAATAAACTAAGCAACCGAGTCCCTTGCCCATTGTTGAGATGTAGAAAACTTAGTTCTGAAAACTGTCTCACCTCCTCTTTTATGAAATTAATCTCTGGGAGATATCCTTCATAAGGGTTGGGGAGGGGACAAAAATGAGAGACCAGAGGGCCAGGAAGAAGCAGGTAAATCCATACCCTTATTTTAAATGATTCACAGTTATCTAGAAAAGTAAATCAACCACTTATTTCTATTTTACCCATGACTCTCTACAGATAAATATATGATACTCAGATCTTTTCTTCATGTAATAAAGGAAATACCTGAAGTATTAAATAATGGAGTTGACCTAACACTTCATATTCATACCATGCCCCCTAAATCAATAAAGTGACTGGAGTGCCACTTAGATGTTTTAAGCTATACATTAAAAAAAAAAAAAAAAGGCTTTAGAGGCCATAAAAAGTATTGCATGTTTTTGAACAGAACCAGCCACTTTAGTCAATATTCTCCTTATTCCTGGAGATACCCTTATACATAAATATTCATATTTTGCTGACAAACATATACTAGCCCTGAAACCAAAGCAGCCTACATCTAAGAATATTTTCAGGTCCATTTTGTTAAGCAAACTAAATTCCAAATATTTTTATTGGCCTGCCTATTAATAACATTTCTGATTGGTCATCTGTTGGGCATGACCCACTGACAGCCCAAATGTTGTTTCTAGGATACAGAACCCTGAGATAAGGGGTTCTAGCCTCCGGTGAAAAGGGAGGGGGGGCTAAAACAAAAAAGAAACAGAAAAGCCAATGAGGAAGTACCTCCCCACTCTCCCTGCCTTGCCCCCATCAACTAGCAGTTATCCAAAAGAGAAGACCCTAGAGGAAATGGTGAAAGTGAGCTATCAGCACAGTTGCAAATCTAAGCACCAAGCCTGGGTGTCCGAGCAAACCGGAAAGCTGGCATTAAAAACTGAAATGACACTATCTAAAGAAGATAGGGAGAGATGTTTGGAGCAACACTCAAAATAAATAGTTTTGCCCCAAATCTGACCATTCTTCTTCAGGATATTACATTCCAAAGCCAAATGGCATTATTCAAGTACAGCTCCCCCCACCCCTGTCCCAGCTCCCATCCTTCACCTCCAAAGCCACTTTTTCTGTCTTTGTAAAGGAAGATAATTTAGAATACCCCACCCTGTTTGGAATCCTTACTTCACAACCCTTCTACTGTACCAGGCTTGATTTTGCATTCCTTTCCAAAGCACCTTTTCTTTAATTGTTTTTGTGACTGTCATGTGGTTCAAATTAATCATAACTGACAGAAGCTAGGGATTGTTGACATCAAATATAAGGACGGGCCTTCTCCAGAATCGATAAGAAAGGGTTACAGTAGTTAAAACTGTATCTCCAAATACCAGCTCTAGCGATAATTAAAGATTGCACTGTTTACACATTCAAGCTCCTAAATTGGTGGCATGTGAGTGACATTCGGGCCTTTCGGCAGCCATACTAATCGCCAGGCATTCTCTCAGTGACTGTCAGAAGAGAGGGGGAAAAATTAAGCAGCTGCAATACGCCCGAAATGAGTTATTGTAATTACATTTAATTAGTTTAATTAGTTAATTATTTTGCTTACAGCTGTACAAGAGACTGCAAACATTTGTTAATATCACATGCCCTTTAACAGTATGGGGTGATTCCACAGTCACACTAAATCATGAATGCATATGTAGGAAGATTTAGAAATGTGCATAGGCTGTCTCAACTTCTCGGGATGTGCATATTTAGCAACACATTTCGCAGGATTTTTAAAAAAAAAAATAATAAAGAACTCATAAAAGACAGAGAACTGGGAACAGAATTACCACACACAAAAATCAAATACAAAAACAAGAGAAGGACCTGTCTCAATGACTTAGGTTAGGGTTTAGCTCAGCAAACTCCAGTCATAAATGAAATAATTATAGCACATTTTTGAAAGCAGTGTTTCCTAACCAGTTCCACACATGATGGTAGTTCGGTTATTTAAGATGTATCTACAATTGCTGCCAAATGTACCATGAGAAAGTGGCAACAGTCTCTGTCCCTCTGTCTCTCTCATCTGGGTTTCTGTCTTTGCCCCTCCCCGTTTCCTTCTTCCCAACATGCCTTTTACACCCAGGCCTTTTACACCTTTGTCCTGTGATTGTGCACAAACACTTCTCTCTTATAAAATAACGAATTCCCCCAAAGCGAAAACTCATAAAGACATGACTGCACAGGAAAACTTTGCTTACTTTTGGGAGGAATAATCCATACCTTTTTTTATGACAGACTGGTCCAATAGATTCATGCCGCTGTTATTGGCATCTTCAACTGACTGTGAATATAAAAACATCACTATTCAAATTGACTGGATATTAAAGAATTGCACACATAAATCATGTCATTCCAAACTGGAGTTTCTGTTATTTCCATTTATATTAATTCACAAAGGGAGGTTTTATTATTATCATTATTACCTCCAAATCAACATAGAAATGAAAGTCACCCAAATTATAAATTCTTCCAATGGAAGAGGAGGAAAAAGGAAACTGCGAGAGACATCTGGGATGCAGTATTGGTTTAGTTATTATATTAAACATAGATGTTACACAGACATATAAACTTTCATATTACTTGCTCTTATGAATTGTGAAAATTTGGCAACAGCTGAAAGATTTTCACCAATATAAGTACGGATAATTCCTGTTTTCAGTTCTATCCCAGCACATCTTAACCCCAGAGTCACTTTACAAATACATAATAGTTTACATTATGGGATTTTAATTAAAGTCTGAGCAATTTGGAATGGAATGCAAACAGCAACACATAGGAACACGTTTGCAAGCTGGCAGGACCGCACACACTCTTCAGTCCGTACACGTCCTTGTGTGCTATGAATTTCTTGCTGCCTGACAATCCCTCAGAGGAACCTGCACAGTTTGCTTCCCCTCCCAATCCTGCTGCTGCTACTTCCCAGCAAGAAGCACACCTGTTAGGGCCACAGTAACCACAGACACACAGAGAGCCCCCGATCCTCCCAGTGAGCACCTGGCTTCTGGCAAAGAGCATTCACCTTCTGTGCCACAGTCTTATCCTAAAGGGGAGTTTCAACCCTGGGTGTTGGCAGCACTTCTGAGGGGAAATGGCTGTTGGGATGAGTTTCTTACTGTCAGGATGCACAAATACAGAAGTTCTGGCTGTGCGTCCCAGGGCATCCAAAAGCACTGTATTCCCTCCTCTCCCCACCCCACCCCCCCCCAAATGAAAAATAAATGCAAGGTCTTTCTGAAATGTACCGCTGCTTTCCTTGATTCTTAGAAACCTACGTTCGGACCAATCTGTCCCCCACTCGACAGAGAAGTAAGAAGCAAACGGCTTGGGAGTGAGGTTGTGTTTTCACAGCACCTCCCACCCACTCACACCTCATCCCCAGACAGGGTGTGTGTTCATCACAAGGAAGAGACTGTCTACCCCAAACAAGCAGCACATTAGACACGAGATAATCTAATCACGAGGAGCGGGGGAGGAGCATGTTAATTTGTTTCTTTACGTTTTTAAGAGTCACTCTTCAGTTGTCGGAAAGGTGAGGAAAATTGTTATTCCCCATAAGACCCGTTTTCCATGTTGCAACATGCCATGTCCATATTAAGAGACAGTAAAACGCTTTAACAAATACTTCGTACAACTTGCTCGGAACTCCTCAAGACACCCCCACCTTGCACACCCGC